TGAGTATATGGTAACTATCTTGTTACATAAGAAAAGTATTTATTTTAGGATGAAACCTAGGTTAAGTTTGCCAGACGTTTACTATTCCACTTGAGAGATAATGAAACTTTCAATTCCTCAAGTTTTTTTTTTTTAATTATCTTGTTTGTTCTTTAAATTTTAAAACACAAATAGATTCTCAAATTAATCTAATGTGTGAAATATGTTAATGAATTGACAAGTATATGTAGCTAAATGAGAACAAATTAGGCCTCAGATTAGTTGTATTTTTGTCAATCTAGTCTGTAGCCCTGCATTTTGTTCTTTGGTTTTTTAAAAATTTCTGAGTTTTCTTGTCTACCTAGATAATTAGGCTTCTTTTCATCAATGTACTTAGTTGCCATTAATATTTTGTTATCTATGTCAGCAGATTTTAATGTTACCTTCTCTTTAAATAATAAGAATCAAATCAATAATTGAGCCAAATTTTTGAAACTAAAAGTTTCAAGACTTAATTATAAGAACATAGCTAATGAGGAAATTACTGGAGAGAATAATCATGTTGTGTTGAGTTGTATAAAATGTCGGTTTGTCATGTTATTAATAGAATCTTATAGTAAATACTTGAAAATTGCTGCAGCTAGACCTGGATTTCAAAAGCCAGAAAGTTGTAGTTCATCAAGGAAATCATATGTGGAACCGATTCCTCTAGATGAAAAGGGATTGATTCCAAAAGATTGGGTTTTGGAAGATCCAGATTCTCACTATATATATGTTTGTAGAAAGATGGACAATGCCGAGATTGACGATGAACCGACCTACCGGATAACAGGCGATGTTTTATAGGGCCTGTTGTTGCAGTGAAGCAAGGGACGATGAAGGTAGCTCGTCTTATTTGTTCGATTTGATGTATACCCCAGACATAAAAATGGTGTTTTACTATGTTACTCAGAGACTGAAGAAACTAGGTATTACCATTAACGGGATGTTTTGTATGAACATTTTGTTCTGTTGAAGTAAACCAATGGCGTTAGCTTGTAGATGACTAAAATTATTATGATCACCAAAGGGTTATTACATATTACAGATTGTTACACTTAACACCCATTTTTTGTTGTATTGCTTTTATTTCAGTTTGTGTGTATTTTTGTTGTGTCATGAAAAGGATAATTCTAGTCTTCCAGCTTTAACTTTCCTCCAAACTTGCTTCTATGACGTGAATGGTAGGGGGATGAAAGAGAGCTTGTCTAAAGACGTTGTAAGCTTTCTTTGTTTGTTTTTCAAATTTTGTACTTGGGCTTCCCCCCCTCTCTTTTCTTTTGTTTTCTTTTCTTTCTTTTGTTTTTTTCTGAGTTTCATTTGTGTTGTAATTTTCTTTTTTAAATTAGAAGGGCAATAACGGCCTGAAGTTACAAGCGGATTTAACCAGTGACTTTTCACATATAAGGAACCTAACATGCCACTAGACTATAAGGTATCTTGTCCTGTGAATTTTGATATTGGGAAAACATGTTTGATCTTTGGGAAAGCATAATTTGGCTAACTAATGTGTCAATTTTTTTTTTATGGAAATAGGGATTTTACTGAAGGAAAATTACTTACGAGTACATGGAACATTTATTTATTCAGAAATGTATCTTCATTTAATGTTATATCCTATGTTTTTTGTTTCTTTTTAAGGTGATCTTGCCTCTTTTGATACAGCTATTTGATTGTGTCAAGTTTGAGCATTGTAGGTCACGATTGAAGACATGATTTTTTTTTTTGAATAAATTGCTTATATGTATATTCTTATTAGATGTAATTCTATTTGAGATATATTTAGATATTAAATGTGGATATTTCGTTCAATCATGCTTGGTTTGTTGTTTATTGTAGACATGATCTTAACCTCCTATGTTAAACGTGTGTGAGGCAAGGCCTTGGGTTCGCCATTGGCTTGGGCCAATAGTGATTGTGATAATGGGCCATAAAGTAAGGTGGGCTGAATTTGGACCTAAGCGTACTGGCATGAAGTCTTTTAATTTTTTTTTTTTATTTACCTGAAAAGTGTTTTAGATTTAAGTTGCGCTAGACCGGACTTATCAATAAATAAATCTCTCACTATTAATTTAGCAAGAAAGTTAGTTAATTGATGATAATACAAGCTAATAATGAAATGAAAAGGTATAGTGTTACCCTTACATCAAAATTTTAAAAAATAAAATAAAATGATATTCAATCATTATCATATTTGATTATTTTTGTTTGGTTTTGATGAATAAAAATTGGGAATAAAATCAAGATGTAAACTTCAATTCTACTCTAATTTTTTCTTATGTTCAAGCATTTTTTTAAATGAAAAGAAACAAGCTTGGTGATTTATGTCTTATATCTCTCCTAGACTAGAGATATTCATAAATTTGTCAAATAATAAAATCCTCGCGTTGATAACAAGCTTCATAAATATATATTTAGTTGTTTTTCCCTTTTATGTTGCTGCATCCTTACTAAGGAAAAAACGAATGCAAAGCTATGTACAACTTCTTTCCTTTTTAAACTCTTCCAACCAAAAAGGGGTAAATTGCAATAAATATGATTTGGAATTAACCAAAACAAAACACACAATGAATTCATGCCAATTACCCTTGTAAAGCCAAAAAGATAAAGAGAGAGAGTGGAGGCAAATGACAGAGATAGGGATGGAAGCAAGCAAGAGGTGGATCATCTTCACACACGATAAAAGGCAAAAAGACAAATCTCTTTAAAGTAACTGTGCTTCTTCACATTTTCTTCACTTTTCCCTTACTTCTCTTGTTTTGGAAACTATCCTTTTGAATTTTCAACATCCCTCTATTTACCAATTTGCCACTTCCCATATTTTTAAAAAAATTATTTTAATTTTATTTTTTAGTAAACTTTTCCATATTCAATGCCTTCTTCCTCTTTAGCCTAATCTCTTACTAGGTAAGCACCTTCTTTTTGGTTATCCATTTACAAGTACACAATGTGCTTGCAGGGAGCTAAATATAGTTTATAAATAGTAGTGCCAATTTAGTTTCCCTTGACTATCCTGACTTTATCTTTTATATAAAAATATAAAAAATACTCTCTCTTGCTTTTCATATTGTAGTAAATTAATTAGTACACTTTTATTTCTATTCATGTTTTTCTCTCAAGTTTTTTTAAATTTTTTATCTCATATAAATATCAATTTGTTTAAACATTATTTATCCCAAGGCAAAAATTGTAGTTTATTTGAAATTAAGCAATTTTACTAAAGTAAAGATCCTTTTATTTTTTTTCATAGAAATCACCATGTCAATTTTAAAGACAATAAAATATAGGTATACGTAGATCTCCTCGATTCATACACATAAAGGAACACTACCAAAATACATTAAATTTGCTTTGGATGATTTAAAATTAAATTTTTGATACATTTTAAATAAAATATTGTTTTTAAGTTTACAGTTAAAACTATTTTTATTATGTATTCTGTTCTATTTAATATAAAAGTAATACGAAAATTAAAATAAATAATCTAGAGCATCCAACGCTTTTGTCAAGCATCCAAGATATTATTTTCTCTTTCTCTATTTATCTGTCTTTTTTTAAAAAAAAAAATTTGGAAAATTCTACCTGCTCTTTGTCAAGTTAAGGGTCAAGCCATTGCTCTGGAGAAAAAAAAAATAAAAATAAATAAAGGTAATTGAAATGAAAATTTTCCCTGTTGAAAGCATCCATGGATGTTATCTTTTGCTTCCTTGTACTTTCCAAAAGATAAAAGTACCAAAATAACACTACTCTTAAACTAAATCTGGTGGTGCCTACGCTATTCAATGCATTTGCCATAAGTGAAATAAGGAAGCAAATGAGACAAAAAGGAAATGATATAATAATAACTTAAAAAAAACATCTAAATAATATAAAATTAATTATTTTTTAAAGTTAACAATCCAACCAAGCACTCTTATTGAAAAATTATAAATGTGATTATTTATCTTTTAATTAAAAAAAGTTTATATGAGTTGGATTTTGAGAGTTCACCAGAATCAATATATATATTAAACTTAAAAAATGTTAATAAAATTACTTACAAATTATCTGCCAACAAATCTTCACATTAACAATAAAATTAGAATTCATGACTTTATAGGTTATGGACAAAAAATTTTACCAATCAGATCAATCTTTATTAGCTATCATCATTTATCTTTTAATCTCCATACAATATATGAGATTAATGAATTTTAATCTTTAACAAGACATTTTCTTACAAATTAAAGAAAAATCACGCAATTTTTTACTTTGATGATAAAATTTAAATTAATATAAAATAAAACTGTACTCACAATTTTTATGGTTATCGGTGCCTAAAATGCAAAGTTATCGATTTAGTCTTAGTTAAAGTTTTATTGTAATATTACAAAAAAGGTTTATTGTAATAAACTTATAATACTATGTTAAGGTCAATATTTAAAGGTTTATATATGAATTGAATTCGTTGAGTAAAATGTGGCACAAACACAAAGGAAGAAAATATAACTTGCCATAAAAAAATATAGATATAAAATTAGAAACAGCCTAAAGAAGCAATGGAAAAATAAAAAAGGAAGGAAGTGGGACCCACGAGAGAACCAATAGCACGAAAACGCTCTAAAGGTGGCAAAAAGGAGTCATGCACTACTCTAAATAGATAGATACAGAGCCATGCAAAGAAAGTTGCCGTTTCCAGTCTCTCGCCATTTGGGGTTAAAACGCTCTCTCTTCTTTCTCTCTCTCCCTCAATCTCTCTATCGCTTTCAATTTAAGATTTAGACCCTTTCCCTCAAAAACCCTTCAAAACACCAAATGGGGCGTTAGAAATTCCAGAAAGGAAGCTCCTTTAGGGGTTGCTAGGGAGGAAGGAAGAGAGCTCAATCAGTTTCTCGAAACAGAGGTCTCTGGATTGAACAACGTATTGATTCTGATTCTGCTCCTGGTTCTGGGTGTGTGATCAGTTGGGTCTCTGTAATTTCTTCTTTCTGTAGTTTAGAGAAATGGGTCGAGGGAAGATTGAAATCAAAAGGATCGAGAATGCCAACAGCCGGCAAGTCACATTCTCCAAGAGGCGTAATGGATTGCTTAAGAGGCTCATGAACTTGCTATTCTCTGTGACGCCGAGGTTGCTGTGATCATTTTCTCAATACAGGGAAGCTTTTCGAGTTTTCGAGTTCTGGGTATGCGTTTAAATTTTCTTGAACTTTAGATTTGATTGCATGTTGTTTTTTTCTATCATACCCTCTGTTGTGTTCTGTAAACTAGGCTGGAAAATTTCAGCGTGTTTGTGTAAGTTCTGTTGACATGAATGATGTCGATGTTGTTCCTCTTTTATATGTTTACATTATTTCATGCGCTATTTTCTCCCATTCCTTAAAAATTAATTTTTATATATTCGAATCGTCTTTTTCGTTCTTTTGGTCCTCAGTGTTTTGTGTAAAATTCCTTTGTTTCTGATGTAACTCAACGCATTTCTTTTCGGTAAAAAAAAAAAAAAAATACATTCTTAGATTACTTCTTTGCACTGTTTAAATTATCTTAGTTTGAACTCTTCTACCTGACTATTGTAACTTCTTGAAGTGAATTTAGAGTACATAAATCTCGAACTTTTTGTCCCCCTCCTTTTTCTGGGGTTTTGACCTCGTTCATATGACTTGTCTATCGTATTATGAACTTCAATTGCTGATTGAACTTGTGTTCAGCAATAAATGGCATGCACTGTTTTCACTGCAACTAAACGTCTTCAAAATTTCTATGTGCCATGTTAATTCTGTCCCCTCCTGATATCTTTGGTGTAAATTTCATGTTGTTGCTAAGTTTCTCTGTAAAAGTAGCATCAGATTGTTTTTGGCTAGAAAAAACTAACTTGATCTCATAATACTTCTTTACATTCGAGTAAACTCAACATATGCCGAGCAAATCATATACCATATTTCCTACTAACCAAACATGTGGTCATTTATACTTGCAATTTATTCTTGCAGTATGATGAGAACACTTTCAAGATACAACAAATGCTTTAACCCTTCAGAAGCTGCTGTGATGGAATGTAAGACAGAGGTACTCTCAGATACCCATTAGCAATTAGCTTATTAAACCTCAAATTTTTTCCTGGGTTGAGGTTGCACATGGTTTCATGTTCATATAGCTACATAGAGTGCTTTAGCCCCCACTGTGTTGTCTGACTACAGCAGAAGTACATTATTTGACCTGATAATGAAATACATTGGACTTCTCAATATCTCCTTCTTGATTTACATAAAACTCAGTTTTTTCATTCTTCAAGCTACAAACTTATTTGTTCGTGGAACTGCAATGTTAATCTAGTTTGCATGTTTTATTTACCTGTGGACTCTCCTTACTACTTAGGTATAAGTAATTATTTTCTTGAGTTATTTTCTTACTACTATCATACGGACTTTATTGAGTTAAAATTGCTCGACTTCAAATGGCAGCGTCTAGCAATTGAATTTTTTTTGCCTTCTTAATCATTCTTCTATTGGCTTCTTGCATAGGTACTTCCTGATTGGCATTTCCTATGATTCATTTATGGGATTATCATCTAACAATTTTCTTTTCAGAAGGAAGATCCTAAGACAGTGCAGACTCTGAAAGATGAAATTTTAAAGCTAGAAAAAAAGCAGTTGTATGTGTTTTCAATGTGTTCATGTCTTGTTTACTATATTTTGCTAATTTGTGTATTTCTTATGAATATTAGCTTCTGATTCTACAGACGCTTGTTAGGTAAGGACTGACAGGGTTGAATTTGAAGGAATTGCACCAGCTAGAGCAGCAACTGAATGAAGCATTATTTTCTGTCAAGGAGAAGAAGGTCTTTCTCATTTAACTTTATTCTCTATTTTTTTGTTCTTAGTTTCAGCGTTTCAGCGGCTTTTCTATTTCACCAGCTGTGAGACCTAATGTTTATTCTTACAGGAGGAATTGCTTATGGAGCAACTGGAGCAGTCGAGAGTACAGGTATACTGGAATCTGACCTTACCATGCCAGCTTTTTCGGAACTAGATAAATTAGCCTTCAAATTAAGGAGACATAGTGAGCCTTCTGTGTTGTAAAAGTCAAAGGTTTTTGTGTTAACATGGATTATTGCAAGGTTTTTAGATCACCCTGAAAGCATGAAGGTATTCAATCATGACCCATACCAAGCAAGCCTGAATGAAATCAAATCCTTTTAATGGATAGTTTTCTACCCTTGAAAGGGAGTATGGTAGTTGGTTT